TTTACGAGGAACTTAATGTTTTATTGCCATTCAGCCCTGATATTAAGGTTCAACAGACTCACGAGAACAAATGGCTGTAATGAGTTTTCTTGCAGGTCTTGCTCCGACTTTTGAAACTTCCTAATCACAGGTTCTTTCAGGTAGTGGCGTTCCCTCTCTTCAAGAGACTTTTGCTAGATTACTACATACTGAAGGTTCTCATACCCCTTCCCCTTATGATAATAGTGCCCTTGTAAGTCATAATCAAATAGTTAGACAGCTAGGAAACAGAGGAAGAGGAGGACATAACCATAATAATGGACCAATTAATCAGGAGGCAAGCATTCTTATCTGCCGTTATTGCCATGAACCTGGACACACTAAACGGTATTGTAAGAAACTGCTAAATAAGCCCCCAAAGGCAAATATGGCCACTCAAGATTCTGCAGTTACTTCTTCTGAGAACACTGTAACAATTTCTACCGCGGAGTATGCTGAGCTCTCTAGATACCGTTCTTCTAAGTCTACTGATTCCTCAATTGCTGCTGCTGCCAATTCAGGTACTCCTACTACATGTCTTATCGCCTCCAAATTGCCTGACTGCTGCCAATTCAGGGTACTCCTACTACATGTCTTATGTCTACCTCATCAGAGTGGCGTCATTGATTCTCGGTTGCAACAGATCATTATGACAGGTAACCCTAGTCTCTTAATCTTTAGTTAAAGAAACCTGAACAATTTAATCGTCATGGTTACTCTAGCGTGATGGCGTCCACCATCTTTTCTGTTAAGTGTAATTGGCACCGCCAATCCCATCCATTCTCTTCCGAAAAATTTGTTCTTCTGTTTTTATGTCTTTGCCTCGTTTTTTCGTTCAACTCTATTATCCTGCTTAGCAAAATTTACTCGTCTACTGAATGTCTGGTTACAATTTTATCCTACCTTCTTTGTGCTGTTTCAGGATCTTTTGACGAATGCGGATTATTTTAGCAGCCCAGCCCGAGGACGTGAGCTGTGGCCTTGTATCTCTTGGACGAATGAACAAGTTTCATGCATTCTCTGGCTTGTGTTAGTGCTCTCTCTCCTCTTGGAGGCCATTGTCGTTTGGGGGTCTCCTTCATTGACTACTTTTAAAGAAAAGTTGTGTCCGCAGTTTCAGTCTTATCGATTTTAGGATGTTGATAATCTTTGTCTAATTTTGCCAAACATCATCGTTTACTGTTAGTTCCTCAAAGCAATAAACGGCGCCTTCATTTCCCCTTTTGCAGTTAGTTCATTTCTTGATGTTTGGGGTCCATGTCCTTGTTATTCTAAAACAGGCTTTTCGGATATTTTCGTAAACTTTTGTGGATATTATTCTTGTTGTTACCTGGTTATTTTTTAATGAAAAATCATTCTGAGATATTCTCTATTTTTCTGTTCCTTTTTGTTTGTGTTGAGATTTAAAAATCAATTTAATACCTCTGTTTTCGCACATTGCAAAAGTGATAATGCTTAAAGAATATCTATCTAGTTCCTTTCCAAATCTTATATGTCACAGAAATGTATTCTTCATCAAACATCTTGTGTTGATAAACTCCTTTTCTCAAAATGGGTTATTGCAGAAAGAAAAAAATCGACATCTTCTTCGAGGTTGCTAGGGCCACTCCTATTTCAAATAGAAGGTTCCCTAAACTTTTTGGGCGGATGCATATCTCTACTGCATGTTTTTTTGATTATCGCATTTGCCTTCTTCTGTGCTTTGAATTGGTGCAATTCCTTATAGTGTCTTGTTTCCTTCTAAACTTTTTATTCCCTATTGAACCTCTTACTTTTTGGGTTGTACTTTGTTTTGTTCGTGATGTTGTCCACAGGTTTCCAAATTAGAGATACAAAATCCCTTCGTTGTATTTTCCTTGGTATTCTCTGGCATCAAAAGGGAATATCGTTGTTTTCTCTCCCGATCTTGACCGTTAATCTTTATTTCTGTCGGATGTCACTTTTTTGAGAATTTACTCCATTTTACTCCATTTTTTCCTTCTCCTATATATAAGAGTGAGGGGGAGGATGATGAGCTTTTAGTCTACGCTATCCAACAATTTCCTAGCTCTCCTACTCCTGCTCTTGTTCCTGTTCCTAAACTTGCACCTGCTCCTGCTACAGAGTCTGCTCCTCCTATTTCCCCTCCTGCACCAGTATCTGTCCGCCCTCGTTTTGAACAGGTTTATTCCAGGAGACCAGGAACTCTTGACTCACTTCCCCTATCTACCGCTTTAACAGAAGATCCGGTTCCCTCCACTCAACCTGAGCCTGTGCCATCCACTGCTCCGTCAGACCTTGAACCTCCCATAAGCTTCTTCGAAAGGTAAACGCCACGGTGTTAACCTTATCCCAGTGTACCTATCCTATTTCTTCTTTTATTAGTTATGATCATCTTTCTCCTTTATCTCGTTGTTTTGTAAGTAACCTAGACTCTGTCTCTATCCCTAAAACTGTTGTCCAAGCTTTGTTCCATCCTGGTTGGTGTGCAGCAATGAAAGAGGAAATGGCTGCCTTAGATACTAATGGTACTTGGGATCTTGTGCCTCTCCCAGCAGGTAAGAAAGTTATTGGTTGTAAATGGATTTTCACAGTTAAAATAAATCCTGATGGATCTGTTGCCTGTCTCAAGGCTCGATTAGTTGCTAAGGGCTATTCTCAGATTTATGGCCTTCATTACTCTGATACTTTTTCTCCTGTGGCCAAATTGTCTTCTGTTCATTTGTTTATTTCTTTAGCAACTACCTTTGACTGGCCTTTACGTCAGCTGGATGTTAAAAATGCATTTCTTCATGGGAATCTTCAGGAGGAAGTTTACATGGAGCAACCACCAGGTTTTGTTGCTCAGGGGGAGTTGGGTAAAGTGTGTAAACTTCGAAAATCTCTCTCTTTATGGCCTAAAACCGAGCTTGGTTTGGTAGATTTTGTAATGTCAATTTGGCATGCAGAAGAGTATTTCTGATCATTTTGTATTTTTCAGAAGTACTAACACTGGTTTGATTCTACTTGTGGTTTATGTTGATGACATTGTTATTACAAGGAGTGATTCTGCATTGTTATTATAGGGAGTGATTCTGCAGGCATTACATCACTCAAGTCATTCCTCCAGACTCAGTTCCAGAAAAAAGACTTAGGATTGTTGAAGTATTTTTTGGGTATAGAAGTATCTAGGTGTAAGAGAGGCATCTTCTTATCTCAAAGGAAGTATGTCCTTGACTTACTTACTTACTAAAGGAAAACTGGAGGAAAGTTGGGGTCCAAGCCATGCCAGTACTCCAATGACTCCAATTTGCAAACTTTCAATTTGTGGTAAGCTATTTGATGATCCTGAGATGTATAGAAGATGGTGGGCAAACTGAATTATCTTACGGGTAAACACCGGTCCAAGATATGCTTACTCTGTTAGCGTCTTAAGCCAGTTTATGTCTTCTCCTTACTGGTTAACTCATTGGAAGCTTCTTAGGACAAATTTTGTGCTACTTGAAAGGTAATTCCAGAAAGGTAATCCAGGTCGTGGCCTCCTTTACAGTAATCATGGGCATTTGGACATTGAGTGTTTTTCGGATGCGGATTGGGTAGGTTCGAAGGTTGATAGAAGATCAACTTCATGATACCGTGTCTTTGTGGGTGGAAACTTGATATCGTGGAGGAGCAAGAAACAAAAGGTAGTCTCACGATCGAGTGCTGAATCAGAATATCGAGCTATGGCGCAATCTACTTGTGAGACAATTTGGATTCGTCAATTGTTAGAGGAAATTGGTTTCAAGTCGTCCTTGCCTGCAAAGTTATGGTGTGATAATCAAGCTGCTCTTCATATTGCATCAAATCCAGTATTCCATGAACAAAAACCAAAAACATATTTTTCAAGATTTGATTGTCATTTTCATTCTGCTGAAAAATACACACAGGTGTTATCTCTACAGGGCATGTTTAAAAACCAACAGTGAACAGTTAGGAATTATCTTTACCAAAAGCCTAAATGGACCTCGGTTAACTATCTTTGTGTAAACAAGTTGGGCATGATTTAACATCTAGTGCTCCCAAATTGAGAGAGGAGTTTTGTTAAGCTCGGAAGGGACTAGTTTTTTTAAGGACCGAGCCATATCTGAGGGACTTAGTTGTAAATAGGAGTTCTATTAGGAGTTAGATTCCTAATATTAGATTCCTAATAGGTTTATAGTATCCTGTATATGTATATATATGTGACCCTATTGATGAAAAAAAGAACAACAATTTTTTCCACATTCTTCTACAATTAAGAAGAGATGAAAGTCACTATCACCCACCTAACATGCTATCTGTTCAACTGAATTATATACTCAAACCAAAGAAAATAGAAAGCAATTAGAAGAGTAACATTGTATGAATCACATGTCTAGTTGTAAATAATGGGTGAGTCACTACTCATAGGAGTAATAGTGTTAACAGATGGGCATTTTGAAATTTCTATACAAGTCAATTAAACACTAGAAGTACCTCAATGAAGGTGCAATGAAAGAAGATGCAGCACTCTGAAGAACGCTAACACCAATTAATCGAATAAAGGATGTTTTGTCCTGCTCCAAAACATACTTCACGGTTGTACCTGCAAAAAGTAATAGCAATCACTCAGTAAGGAGCAAGCTATTCCTCCGATTACTAAAACCATACAGTCAAGTACAAATACTAGTACCATTCAGTGAGGCAATTCGATCTGAGACCCATGTTCTTGAGACAACAAGAAAAGAGACTGCAAGTAATTGTGCCCCTTGTTTATCCAGCACAGTTGGTACCTGAAAAACAAGCAAGACCATCAATAAATGGAAGATATAATATAACCTGCTAAAAATAAATAGAAATTTTTGGATACTAACTTCAGATACGTGATATAGGCTATATAGTGCTGGTCAGTAGGATAAAGAAATATAAACACAAAACAGCAAAATACCACAAAACACAGTCACTGTAAAAACAATAATAATTGCAATCTAGATATGTCAATTTTTTTTTTTTTTTTTTTTTTTTTTTTTTTTTTTTTTTGTAAGATCCAGAAAAGCTATAAAATCAATAAATGAGTTGATGCATCTAAAAATCATGCCAATTATGAGTTTTTTTTTTCCTAGAACCATTTTGTCAAAATCTTTTCCATTTTGTCCAAATCATACATTTCCAAGCCTGTTTAGGATTGCTTTTTTAGCAATTAATTTTATATTGATAATTTTTTTTTTTTTTTTTTTTTTTTGTAAGATCCAAGAAAAGCTATAAAATCAATATTAATGAGTTGATGCATCTAAAATCATGCAATTATGAGTTTTTTTTTTCCTGAGAACCATTTTGTCAAATCTTTTCCATTTTGTCAAATCTACATTCAGCCTGTAGGATTGCTTTTTTTAGCAATTAATTTTATATTGATAAAAATTATAGTTTTATTACCGAGTCAAATAAAATATCATTTTTTCAGTAAAATTTTTAAACTTAGCACCCTTCTATCTTCCTCTCTCACTGCTTCCCCACTGGCCTTCCCTGTCTCTTGCCCCCACCCCCCACCCCTTTTCTCTCTCTTATTCTCTTCCTCCTCTCCTCCTTCTGCACATCCATCAAAATATATCATCAAATCACCATAGACAAGTAATTGTCAAACTTAATACCATCACCAAGCCACTAGATTATAACAACCATTATCTTCACAAATCAGAGTACCTACCATGACACATCATTCAAAGCTGAGGACTGCAGCTATTTACCAAGTGCATTAACACTAGATAGAGGACCACAACTCACAAAACCTATCAACATTACTTGCAGTTCTAGAAACCAAGATAATAAATTTAGAAAAGTTTAAACAGGTTGTAGTAGTTTATTTGACCGTACCTTAATTCCCAAAATCCATTGTTGCAGTTTTGAGAATGGATTATGAACAGTTTTGAATTTCAATAGCTTAAATATTTAAAATAATTTGAATCTATAAATATCGATGCTTGAAATGCTTAAAAATTCAGTTTTTCAATCCATAGTTCCATAAAAAATTCCAGCAATTGCCACCATTTGAGCTGTGTGATGCAATTAACCATAGTTTTCATGCACAAGGGATATTATTAGGTGTGATGCCCAAGGACTTCTAAGTGAAATGCTTCTAATCTTTTAACTTCTTGCATAACATTCACTCTGAATTTCTGCAAATAATTGCATAGTTCAGCCAATTAATATCAGCAATAGTTGTGCATTCGTTTTAATCCATTAGAAGTTGAGTTCACTCAAAATCTATTCTGGAAATAAAACCTGCAAGCTGTTCTACATGAGAATGCTTTGTGCTTAAACAAAATAGGTGTAATTTATACCTACGGTGGTCTGGTTGTCAGGGGGAATAAATTGACCATTGAGTTTTGGCAATCCTGATTATGATGCAAAGGATTTAAAGCATCAGAGATTTAAATATTAGTTATCCACACGCAATGAATTAGGAAGAGCCATGGTCTGGTTCCAGGCCCTACCCCCTTTGAACCAGACTGGAAGTTCAGATTTATTTTAATCCAGTTCAGAATCAGAGAGTTCTGCCAATTTCTGGTTCGGTTTTCTAAAGGGTATAAGGGCTGTTCCACATAGGAGGAACCAATGGCTGGTCTATGATGATGGGAAACCAATATTCAAGTTTGAAGTCACTATAATACTCAACGTCAAGATTAACTTCATAACACAAGATGGAGACACCTATGATCATCCAATACTTATGCTAAGCATCTTTAATAAATGCTCACCAGTATTCTAAACATGGAAGCTATTCTCAATGCTAATGCTCTCGGAGGCCTTTGCAGTTGTGGAACGACTGGCAAACGACGATCGGGATCTGCACTTGGGGATGCTGCTATCATGTCTGAAATATATGATTGTGCCTTTGAATTTGAGAATGCAGAGTCCTAGAAGAAGGCCACATCAATTTCATACAACGTAAATTAAATAAACTGAAACATAAAAACTCCATGTTGAAAAAAAAAGTTTCCTAGGTCCTATATAATTGTATACCTTATGAGTTGGGGAAAATGCACGCTGAACTACCATTGCATCAGTTCGCCGTTCCGTCTCACAAGTGGTCATGACATTGGCCCCAGCTTCAGACAGGGCATGAGAATCATTCCTGAATTCTCAAGGATTTTAACATACAAATATACCTTCAATTCAAAAACAATAAATAAAACAAAAATATTACCAACACATAAATCAAACCTTTTGTAACTAACTCGCCAGCCCCCTTCTCCATCCAAGGACAAAACAACATCATGAAACGCAACTAGAGCTGGACGGTGTGATATGGTTATACATGAAGTTCCCATAGCTCTGACTTTAGTGCAAAAACGTTCCTCCATATCAGTAGTCACTGCACTGGTGCACTCATCAAGAATTGCAAACTTAGGTTTGTGGTAGAACAGTCTGGCCATCCCTAACCTTTGTTGCTCTCCCAGAGACAATTCCTCACCCCAGTTGACCTCCTGCTCAGGTGGATAACGGTCCAATAGATACTCAAGATCAACCTACAAAGTGGAGAAACCAATTTGCAACAATATTTCAATCAGACAACGTCACAAGTGAACATATATAGTCTGCAATTTCAGAAAAGACCAACGAATAGAGGAATGAAAGGAGTTGATTACATTTTTCAAGAGCTCCACCATTCCACTATGTGTGAGTGATTCAATCTCCTGATCCGCAGTAAGAGGATAGATTAACTGATCACGGAGTGTGCCCACAGCTGTATATGGCCTTTGTGGCACATAGAAAATCTCCTTATTAAGATCAGAACCAATACCAGGTTTCACAATATGGCCAGATACCAAGGGCCAAAGGCCTCCCAGAACTCGGAAAAGTGAGCTCTTCCCACTACCATTTGGACCTTCAGAAGAAAATGACATACATTTTATATCCAAGCATATCAACAAAGCCAGTGCACAAATAAAACATTTTTTGGCAACCCAATCACACTAAAAAACATGTAGGCAATAATTCACATCATTTGCAGATCAAGTCCATAATAAACAACAATGACAATCACACCATAGAATCACCATGTCTCCTTGTAAAGAAATCAAGCCACAAAGGAAAGGTCATTATCACAACAAAACAAAGATTAAGCCCCTGCTAAACTGATATTATAGAAAGTAAATGGACATTATATATTATATCATTGACAGGATACAGGAACTACTATGTTAAGAACTACCACCATGATCATCTTGTTCAATCCAATTCGTTACCATTCCTTTATGCATTTAGGAAGTTATTCCATGCTAGCATACCTTACTTTGAATCGGAAGTGCAATACAATCCCCCTGTAGGTTGAAAAAAGAACAGGTTATACTACCCTTGCCCATCTCTATCCCTTATCAAAATCATCAGAAAATTCTCCTCTATTAACCATTCAAAAATATCTTGAGAATATTTTTCTATAATGAAAGGGCTAATAACCCTTTTACTTGAAATACAAAAGGTCATACTTAGCATTAGCACTTTATGAGACCCACTAATATAGGTTTAGAGAGAGGACCAAATAAGAGTTAGGGTATGAAACAAGTAAAATCAAATTGAAAATAAGAGAAGAAAAGGAAAGAAAGTGCCAGCTGATTCAAAGCTCTCTCCCTCTCCTCCTCATCATCTTCCTCTTCTACTTCTCCATTGTTCTACTGACACTAACCACTGCATCTCAACTGTGTAATAGTTCATATCAGACATTTCATCCAATATGCAGTCACAGACGAAGAGCACCTGATTCTAAATTGACCAACCGGCAGCACCTAATCATGTATCAGCCAGATACTTTGATTTCCGTCCCCATGGGATCAATTTACTTTTATGATTCGTATCCAGCATCGTAGCGCGTCTCTTTTTATTTATATATAGTCGTTCCTTTCATAGGAGAGGAGTAGTCTCTTTCTGCTGCTATTCCAGCTGATACAACATGATACAGCTGTTTTTTTGAAACCCACGACGACCACCCCACATTTACTGAAGGGCCAATCACAATAAAACTAAAATATTAAAATAGCAAAATTGAGAACCAGAATGCTTCTCTTGGAATTGACAAGACGGAATATTAAACCAAACCAGTCAAATATAAATGTCTATTCTGATCAAGTATTATCATATCAAAAAGGATTACAAACAAAAAGGTCCTGTGAACCTGCCATTTTATAGGTGTTACATAAGATTTACAAAATATGGGGCATAGTTGCCCTGGTTTCAAACAAGTACGTGTTGTTCAAAGCCAAAAGCTTATATTCAACAGGAGGAACAAGGAAGGAACCACCAAATTGAAAGGACAAGATTGGAAAAACAAGACCAATTGGTAGAAACTCAAAAATGGAAGATACTTTGAACTTGTAAGACCAAAAAACTACCTGTAATCAACAGATTAGATCCTGATTCAACCTTAAGAGTCAGATCTTCCACCAAGACATTACCAGTTGGAGTGACGACCTAGGAAGCAATACAAATATAAGAATATGGAAGAAATGCCAATATAACAACACGGTGAGATAAAATCCGCAAGTTTTGAGTACCTTGACACCAGAAAACTCTATGTAGTCAGCTTCGCTAAAATAGTTCCTGCTTCCACTTCTTTGCAAAGAAGATTTATCATCGCTATTTAGCTCTCTTGATATGGCTATTAACTCATTAATGCGGTCAGCATATCCACTGCAATAAACAAAGATTAGGTTAGAAGATGATCAGAATCAGGTACAAGGCTTGCTCAAGGACAAATCAGACAATGCTCTAATTTTTCTTTTGCAATCCTCTTTCTACTCTCCAGAAGTTTTTGCCCACTTCAATCCAAATAAGTTTTCATGGGAGATCAATGTAGCACAGAAACAGGAACATGGAAATGGCATTCTAAATACAATTTACACAGGGAATTGGCATTTTACATGGGGAAACAGAAACATAGAAACACCCAGCGCTGGAAGTTTCTGTGCATCATAAGAGATCATAGTAGGAAGAGTTGTACAAAGCATTCTTTTTAACCGTAAAAAGGAAGAAGAAGGGGTGCGGCTCCTTTCAATATTGAGAGTTTAAAGAAATACAATAAGGTCCCATTTTAAGCATACAATGGCATGAATATTTAATTCCGAGATACCTGAGTCTATTGAGTCGTCTTGAACTTATAGAAAGAGTTCCCAAGGACTGAAAGAGTGATATTATGACACTGGTGTGATATCTTAAGTTGCTTAACATTTTTGCCCTTCCCAAAGTTGAAGAGTCAGGTCTAAGTTGACCAGCAAAGAAGGGCTCAATAATCAAAATAACAGCAACTGTAGCACCAAGATATTTCACCAAAAAGTCTTGAATCATGCCAAACCACCAGTGCTCATGAAGGACAACTCTCAGATGGCTAATAAGATCCTTAAACTTCTGCTGAATGTGTGATTCTTCTCTACGCTCTCCACCGTAAAATGCAATACTTTCTGCATGGGTCCTTAAACGTGAATGAACCCGACGATATTCACCTTCCAATTGCTGTTCTTTGGACATCAATTTCCCAAAAGCAGGAGAAAAGTTTCTAATCATGGTTCCTGCTCCCAACACATAGCCCTGAGAACATTAACATCACATGTCAAATGGAAAATTGAAATATAGTTTTTCATCACATTAAGCTGAAAGGTTACCAAAGGCCATTCAGAAGAATAATTCAAAACATCATAAAGAATAAGGACACTAATAAATATTATAGAAAAATAATTACCAATATCCAAAAGAGATATTTTGGGCTAGCATAAGAACACAGGCGCCAAGTGTAGAGAAGACCATCAGTAACTGCTGTCAAATCATCCTGTACCAGTTCACTCAACTCCGAACAGAACTTTGGTACATCACTTGCAATTCTTTGCTCAGGGTTAGTAATGCGACCATCAACATGTGATATTTTATAATATGCCATGTTCTGAACCCAAATAAAAAGATTAATAAATAACTGAGAGAAAAAAATATAAGCAATGAACAAAGGCATCAAAATGAATTCCTCAGGTGATAAGTCAGAAAGTAATGTTTTTTTCTAGGCCAAAAAAACAACAGGCTGCATATTCTAAACCTCCAAATGAGAATAGAGTTCATAGATTCTGTAGTAATTACAAGTTCTAGATTCTAAACCATAAGCTCCATTGCCGTCCACCAGGATAGAACTTCAGAACATCAGCATGTCGAGGTGTGTGAACGCATGTATGTCCATACATTTAGTGGCTCCAAAAAGTGCATTTTATGTATGGACATACATGCATTCACGCACCTCCTTAAATTCCACATAATAATGCAAGTCATGCCATTTTATTACTTGATACCAAATCAATACATGCATTACTGCATGTATCAAACAGAGGAAACTAGAATTACAAAACACTTCCAACTAAAAAATGGTTCACACGCATGAACAGAATGAAACCACACAGCCTGAAATTATCACCACAACCATCATTTTATATTTTCAGTCACATCTAAGCCGAATCATGACAAAATCGAGGTCAAGTTAGATCATTTTCTTAACTCCACCTTTAACATTTACCATTTCCCCCAAAAGAACAAGGAAAACTATCTAAGAAATGAATTGGCACTTGAAGATCATTAAGTCCATTTAGTGGGTTTGGGGTTGGACTTCATGTGACTAAATCAAAATGAAGTGAAATACAACCTACAAATAGTTACTATGCCCTAAACAGTAAAAAGTTACAGTTATTAACTCAAAATAATAGGTGGACAAATTTTGTTAATATTACAGCAAAAAATTTAAAAAAAAAAAAAGGCAGAGAGAAAAAGACTTGCATCTAAAAAAATCAAAGTGAATTAAACTGGCGTATAGAAATAAATGTTGCCAAATTAACATAAAAAGTAAAGTAATCACCTGAAAGTAATGTGAATGGATACGTTTTGTCAATATTTTTCTGAAACACAGACTTAAGGTCCCAGTTACATACTTTGAAGTAGAATGCATAGTTGATAGAAGAAAACATAGTAAGATATTTTCAGATATCAGCCGGAAAAATAATGGAACACGTCGGAGAAAAGCAGCACGGAATAGAAATCCCTGTACTTTTGCTAACCTGTTGCTCAAAGCAGTTCTCAACACCTGCAAAAAAGAGCAAAAGCATATTTCTACTCAGTAACCAGAATGTTCATGAAATTGAATGGAATGCTATCACAATGATGATGGAACCCAACCTAAATCAAAATCAGCACATGAACATGAATGAGGCATGCACCAAGTGAATAAATCAATAAACAGACTGAAGGATAAAGGACCAATTCAGCATACTATTTGTTTACAAGTCAACAGAGTTATGACAAGCACCATGTTTATTCTATTTCTTCCATTTTCCATCATTTTGACAGCCAATGCACGAAAAAATTAACAAAAAAAAAAAAAAAAAAAAGCCCAACCTAAATCAAAATCAGCACATGAACAGAATGAGGCATGCCACCAAGTGAATAAATCAATAAACAGACTGAAGGATAAAGGACCAATTCAGCATAACTATTTTGTTTACCAAGTCAACAGAGTTATGACAAAGAACACCATGTTTATTCTATTTTCTTCCAATTTTCCATCATTTTGACAGCCCAATGGCACGAAAAAATTAACACAAAAAAAAAAAAAGCAAAAATTAAAAAAAAAAAAAAAAAAGCAAAGGATTTTTCACTGAATCAGTTGATAAAAAATGCACTGAATGATAGAAGATATAAAGATTAGGTATAAGAAAAGGTAACGTAATAAATAAATTAAAGTACACACTTATAAATGACTCTTCTATCTAATTCAAAAAACCATCATGGTGTTCTTTCTTCTATTCTCATTTCCGCGAACTCTTCCTTTCTTTTTCTAATTGGATTTAACAGTTAGACGCATGTGGGATAACATTAAAAATTTTAAAAAAAAAAAAAAAATCTACAAAACCAAGCTGCTGGAACCAAACACTACTCCTGAAAAGAGAACTCTTAGAAGCAAAAGATAAAAAAAATAAACACGGAAAATGGGAAAATCTAAGAAATCCTCAACTTGTGATCTAATTTGCCCTAGATCCAACTCTCAACAACCATGAGATTCCCTGAAACCAGAATTCACCCTTGCCCAAGGATCAACTTCCTGGTAAGGCATGAATCCTACTTTATTTTCTTACATGTTTTATCCGAGTTCTCACAACAGCGTCCAAAACTTTATTTTGAGTTATAACTAATTTATGTATTTAAAGAAAACAGTTCAGAACATATCATTAAAATAATGGCTTCCATCCGCAGAATGAAGAAAGCTATGCTGATCATTCTACAACTTCAAAAATTAGATAATTTTTTTTTTTCTTTCAAATGAAACAACCATGTAAATCTTAAAATGCACACACACACACACACACACACACACACACAAAAAAAAAAAAAAAAACACACACCACACACAACACAAAAAAAAAAAAAAAAGACATAAAGGTTGGCATTATTCTCAATTAAAGTTGGCATCATCTTTTGAGCCAACCATGTGGTTTCCAAGTCCAAGGCTCCATCAATTGTCATAAAATTAAAAGGGCTGCAGTCCAAGGACAAAAAAAAAAAAAAAAAAGACATAAAGGTTGCATTATTCTCAATTAAGTTGGCTCATCTTTGAGCCAACATGTGGTTTTCCAAGTGCCAAGGCTCCATCAATTGTCATAAATTAAAAGGGCTGCAGTCCAAGGACAACTCTTCATAGCATGGGCCAGAGGCTCCATCAAATCAATAGATAATAGAATGATCTGATGCAGGGATAAGATTTGTGTAAACTCTCAAATTGAAAGTATTATATGGGCCCTTATGCCTATTCAAGACAAGGAAAGAAAAATTAAAAATTCAATCGTCTCAAGCCCATCTTCAGCTAAGGAAAACCATGGAAAAATGCTATCGGGAACCCACATCAACAAAAATAAGATGTACCGTATTAGTACTGCTCTATCTTATCTCGTCATCATCTTTCTATATTCAGTTTTCATACAAAGTTTTTTTTTTTTGGTTCTCTAACCTTACCATCATTGTGTAACATTCTAGTGCCACACATTAACTTCTGTATGCAACAAAGAGAACCAAAAATTTCACGTATTAAGTCACTTGGATGGAAGAACATGATAAGAAGAACTAAAAAACTGCTTGCGATATGCATCAAACCATTGCTGGTGCATCTTATCACCAACTTCTACGTCATACAGACACCACTTTTTGTTCCTTAACCTACCATCATAGAACAATATGGAAGTTGGACATGAGATAAACCAGTTATGACGGACTATATTTCTTTAAGTGATTCAATACTCCAAAGCATAATATACAAGCTAGTTAACCTAGAATCAAAGTGCAATATGGAATTGGACAGGAGATAAACCAGTTTTGATAGGACATTTCTCTGTCAATTGTTCAATACACTAACCACAGATACAGTTTCAAAAAATAGGAATTTTGATATAATCAATTTACAAAATAAGCCGATTCCTTATATGCTGTAAAGCCAGAATACATTTGTACAGCTATATAACTTTTTTATAAAAGAGAATTAGCAAGAGGCACTTCAATTTGACCTTAAAAACCGAAGAAACAAAAAAGAACCATCAACATCATACATGAAGGACAAGAAAACTGCACAGTATATATAGTTCATTTCAAATATTATTCTATGATCGACCATGCTGAACAACCAAGAAATGCCACTAAATGCAAGAAAAGCTTAGAGGTAAACCAAATATTTTAGTTCACGCATAACATAGACTTACTGCGATGGCTACCATAGCGAAAAGGTCCCTTGCACCTTTTTTGCCCATCTCAGATAAAAGAATCGCAGCTAGAACATGAAGAGATTTCAAACTTCCCTTCTTTTGAGTATTTTTCTTCACGTTATCTTTATTTGTAGCCAGCTTGTCAGATTTGTCATTATCACCATTGAGCCCATTGTAATTACCAAAAGAATCAGACTTTCTACAGCTATGCCTTGACTGCAAATATGCAGCCGTCCCACCAACAACTAAAATACCAGTTGCTAGCAGTAGAGACTTCCTGTTTGGATTACAAAAATACCAGTTCATCACTGAAATAGAGTTTCTTGAAAACTGCATGCAGCATACTATAGAGAATACAATCTATTTTGTCTGTTGAGGTAGATAGGAGGAATCCATGTCCATCATGATGTATTCTCCTTTCTTTATTTCTTTATGTTAAGTTTTCTTTTCTGAGCATAGAAAGAAAGAAAGGAAACGTGGAAAGAAAAGTCAATACCTTCTGGAAGCGAAGAGGCTTCGACCATGCTCAGTTAGCTGCAACAATTGAAGAGAAGGCATGGCTGAAAATAAACCTTCCCCCTACCAAATGCTGTCAGAAGCTTGAATGTCTTCTTTTAAAATTAAATTGGAAAAAATCTGGAATATATCAAATCAAGTAACTGATTTTACAAGCACATAGAGTCAAATAATCAAAACAAAAGGCCCACAACAAAAAGGCAAATATCAAATATTTGACACAGGACTGCACACACCAACAGACAGACAATGGTATATAGAGAAGTTCGAAAAACACGAATATGGTAGGTTCTATAAACCAAAGCAGAAACTGCAAGTAACAGCAGACAAGCAGCAAGAAGCATTATGTTGCCAGAAATCATATTAAATTTATAATTGTAGAAGACAGTGACAATTCCATGTTTCGGCAATAAAGTTCAAGTAATGGTATCAGTTTGTAACTTCATTCCATCAACAAACCCAACCACTACTCAATCCAAAGGTTGCATGCTAGGACTAAAAAGTTGTCGTCATATGCTACAGCAAAACATGCACAGTGGAACCTCATCATTTGGATTGTTGTCTTATGAATGCAAGACAAAAAGAGAACATGATGCAAAAATATATTTTATATATATACATAGAATGAAAACTACTGGTGTGTATTATTAATTATATACACAAATTTATACCTACAAAAATGCAAGACAGTACGTCAAATTCTAAGAAAATACTTACAGTAGGGCGCCTTCTGCTAATGCACTAACCATGCTCCATCATATGTAGTAGTTTGCACGAGAACATACTCTCTGAAAAGTATAATTCTGAGAAATCAAATTCATACCAGCAAATATGCCTTGCATGTGTTGCTTTTCATCAAAGGTATTATTGTCTCTGGCAATCAGGCAAAAATTGCCTACAACATAGTACAAGAATGTAACTGAGACTAAAACAGCTATAAACACATATTATATCAAATACCGACAATTTCAATTACAATGCAGTTAAAATAAATGGAGTAGGTTGAGAAGCACATTCAAAACACTAAGTTGGTACAATCAGTGATAAGCATAACCTTATTCTGACCCTGCAGATGAAGGTTCATAATTCAAACCCAAAATGTCCTCTTGCCAAGAGTGGTGAAATGGGTCGTAAGGATATTATAGTGAATGACTGCCATTTTTTTTTTTTTTTTTTTTTTTTAAGAGTGCGTGGAAATGGGTCGTAAGGATATTATAGTGAATGACTGCCATTTTTTTTTTTTTTTTTTTTGGGGGGGGGGGGGGGGTGTAGGGTGCTGGGGGAAGGGAGAGAGAGAGAGAGAGAGAGATGCACTTGTAAAAGTTGCAGTAGCACATAAAAGTAATGCGAAAGAAAGTCCTCTAAAACTGTTTAAATAAATGAAGGAAAAGGCCTACGAAAAACCAACCAGCTTTTAGTTCAGTTGAATATGCCCCTCAAAGAAACAAACACATGCAGTAAGAAAGAATATGATGTCAACGCTTAAAAGTTAACATGCCATAAAGGTCTTCAATTCTTCGTGCATCCAACTTGCCATTCTAACTTTAGTTGTTTAACACCATTTGTTAAACAATAGTAGCACAAAAACGCCTTGCAGCATATTTATCAAGATTACCACATAGTTAACAAATCTTGTGGACAACCATATCCACCCTCCAAACAACCTTGCCTTGTGCGGCATTTGGTCTATCAATTTAAAGAACAACTCATCTGCGGCTGTTGCCAACTAATGAACCTAAATCGGAATGAATAAATATCCACCTTCTCAAGAGTAGCTAAGCAATGTGGCAATTGTCCGATAAAATGGTAAGAATGTAGAGCTTCTAACTGAGTCATAGCTGATTTGTGTATAGGGTAATTCTCTTCTAGGCCTCAACTTTGGATGGACCACAGCTATGAAATGCCTTCTCCAGGACCCCAAGTTAGTATCACAATTTGGGAAGAAGAGAAATTTCAGAGCCATTAGTGCACAACAACCTTTTCTACAACTTCTTGAGAGTCCCTAAACTTTGCAATTCCAGTTCCCAAAAAAGAAAGCGCTAATATTTGCAATCCAAATCCACTTAGTTGAGTTAAGAATGGTACAGCTACATGATCCAAAGAATTTGTTTTTCATTTTTCTTTTTTCCAATTAATTAGTTAATGAACGCTTTTCAGTTGAACAAACCAAATCATTTCAAAACAAGCTAAAGGAGAATTGAGAATCCAACATGCAGCATAGCCTAGACAAAATTGATACTTCTCACAATATATCAATTTCCAATATGAAAAACCTATAGTAGGCTAGTTTGACATAATGCATACCAGAAATTGAGTGCATTAAAAGTCATTGGAAAGTTAAACAAGAGAAGAATGTTCTCAAACCGGGTCCTTTTGGTAACACGAATATGTAGTAGTACAATAACTAACAATACCACATAAACAGCAACACTACTGCCTTCACCTTACACCTTCCTTCTGTGCACAACCTTTCTCCTCATACTCCTGTATCGTCCACTTCTCAAACTCTAATTTCCCATTATATTCTCTAATGATCCAATCTCATTTGCAGAATTTTGTTTACATAAATTGTGTAAAAAAGAGTGAAGAGTAATCACTGGATGACACAGAAAGGTTTGAAAAGACTAATGGAGTAATCAATACCCTAAACTTTGAATTGGAATATGAAAGAGAGCAAGAGAGGAACTGCTTGACCAAATTGCTTTTCCAGATAAATTCTCCTCGAAGATTCTCTAAAAGCCTAAGTGCAAAGTTTATTTTCCACAATAAATTTAGCTTCCTGACCAACTGTAACCGCTAACAATTTATCAACCCAAAGAAAAATACAAAAATCAAACCTGCGGTTTTGTTGTGAGATTCTTTTTATTCATTTCTCACTAAGTAAGCCTATACGGAATCTCTATAAGCTTAAAAACAGCAAACAATAGCATGTATTCAATCAAATAACACGAGTCTAGCTGAAACAATTCAGCTTAATTCAATTCACCAATAAGCAATTTTTTAGTAAGATACAGCATACCTTAGCAGACGATAACCAAAACGACATCATCTCTGAAAACGGCACTCATTCCTGTCTCTCTCTTCTTCACCGCAAAATAACGATAATTGATTGATATGAAGCCTGCTGAGAATTTCAATCAATTAGGACGAGAAGATCGAATCGAAACCCTACAATTTGATGTTAGATTTTTACCAAACTCTCTAAATTTTGTAGAAGACAAATCCGAAGAAATGTTAACAGAGCAGAAACGGAAAAGAGTTCGCTTTTTTATTTTTTTTATTTTTTTTATATAGAAGCTGAGACTGAAGACAGGGAGATGATGAGAAAAACGGTAAGTATCAATTTCATAATATTTATTGCAATTTTTGGAATATTAATATTAATTTGACTTATTATATTCATGCACCCAATAAGCTTATTGGGTAATATTAGCTGTTTCATATTAATATAAAAACTACTAATTATATATTAATTGAAGTAGTAAACAATCTCAGTTTAAATAACAGTAAAAATAAAAATTCATTCACATTTACTAGGAAGATACCGATATATATATTTTGACTGTCTTTTGACATCTAATCTAATATATTATTTATATTTCATAATACTTGTTCCATTTGAAAAAATAACTTGTTCCAAAATACTTGTCATATTTGTGTTTTCAAAGAGTAATAAACATTTTTTTTTCCGTGTTTACCCTTTGTATATGACCATTAATTATTACTCAATTTAATATTATTTTTTTGGAGAATTAATATTAAATTAAGGGTAATATAGTTAGTTTACTCGATAATTTATTGTAATTTAGATACATTTAATGGTTTTCTTAAGAAATATGAATTTCAAATGTGAAAAGTATGATGAAATAAAAGTAATAATATATTCACGGCGTTCTAATGTCTAATATTTTTTTTTTTTGAAGGGATAATGTCTAATATTAATATAGAAGTATATAAAAAAATATAACTCAATTTTATTATTTAAATAATGGCAATTACATATGTTTTTTCTATCCCTTTGTTGTTTTCCAATATTCGCTTCTTCTCATTGTAAATGATTGGTTGATTGAGCAATGAGCTCAACAATTTTAAGCCTGTGAAATAGAGTGATTTTGATACGCAATCATCACATCTAATTTGTTGCGTCACGTTTTATTTATTATAGTAGTTAGTAGTTTGACATTACTATAATTTTACATATGTAATAATAATATTAGATGAGATAATTAACATAAAATATTTTATCGATTATCCGTAACTGGATTAATAAGAGTTTGACAGCTACTAGAAAGTTAACAGCTGTTAAAATAAATAATTTACCAAATATACTCCAAATTTTGTATATGCAATACAAGGCTAATGATTTATTTCTCTATATATATAAAAAAAAATAACTACATACTTCCATTATAAATATTTTTAAAAATAATTACATTAGTATTACGGAAATCATCAAAAAAACTTTTATTTTAGGAAGAAATAGTTGTTTTTGAGTAAGTTACCATTGTATATCATTATTCTAAATACTTACTAATATTTACTTAGTAAATATCAAAGATAAATGTAAAGGATTAATATTTTTAATTTTCAAAATGACAATTTTAGTGGAATAAAAAAATTCAAATGAACCAAAATGGAATGGAGATAGTGATAATATATTTATTTATTACATAACTAACTTTAAAGAATGTTTTTTCCTTCTTTTTTAAGAAAAAATCTCTAGAATGTTTGTATTTAATAATGACGGCAAGAATTAAAAATGTTTCTAGAAAGCAATATCTATTTTTGAAGCAATATCTGAATTTAAAAATAAAAGAACTACATATATTTTTGGTTAGATGAAAAATGATTTAAATGTAATTTATCAAAATTATAAATGCACGATTAATAAGGTGTTGATAGAGGTAAATAGAAAATTTAGTTCTTATAAAGGTAAGAAGGAAATTTCAATCTTTAAGAAAATCGCCTTATATTTATTAATTTTGCGATACCTTTCATTAGTAGTTATTATTAGTTATTATAGAAGTGCAGGTTAAATCAGTATTCAACAAAGTAACGCACTTTTAATGACGATGGCTTTGTTGCCTTGGAAGAGGACATGGAATCAATATATATAAAATAGAAGTTGTGCCACGTGGGAAAGTTGGCCCGTGTTTAGCGCGCTTACCAATGTAATGACGTTTGATGCGTGATACTGCACACTACAAACAACAGTTGACGGTTGGATAGAGTCGCGGTGCGTGAACGTACTTCGATATCCTAAACGGCTAAAACCTAATACAATGGCGTTTGACGATCCTTTTTAGAGGAGGCCTTATACATGAGCAACGAAAAAGCCGCCTACCTATAGACAACGTCGTTAGACGTGATTATGCTTATCACTGTTTGGACGAGGTAAGTAAAATTTGTTTTTCTTACATTTCATAGTCAAGTATACAAATTATAGAGGTTTGAAAGGTAAATTCCTAAAGGTTAATAAGGGCAGGGGTGAAGTTGGGATTTAGAAGAAGTGGGATGAAACTGTACAATATATATATTTTTTTTGAGTGCTAGAGGGAGGGAGGGAATTTAAATATGGATTTATTATCGGATTGTTGTATATGTACTTACAACACGTTATATTAACACGTTGCGTTGAAAGAATTTTTTTTCTAAAAAAATTCTATAAAATTAATTATATGCTCGTCAACTTTAGCAAAAAGTAAAAAAAAAATATCAAAATTATAAACTATAATAGTTGTCTATCTATAATATATATTGTTCTATAATATAAATTAGAAACACGATGAGTCAAGTCAAACTAATCCTTATTTTTAGAAAATTAATTATATATTGTTCTGGACTTTTAATAACTTATTTTGGAAATTGATTCTTTTTTTTGTTGATTTGTGTTGTTATTTCCCTTAATCTGTTTGAACTTCAATGGAAAAATCACAAGAGAAAATTTCTTGCGTTTCACTTTATTTTATTTATTTAATGTTCTTTTATTTTCAATTTTTATTTACTTTATTACGCTAGACCTTTAAATAACTTATTTTGAAAATTGATTTTTTTATTTGTATTTTGTTATTTTCTTAATTTGTGTGAACTTCAGTGGAAAAGTCACAGGAGAATAAATTTCTTAATATGCATACTGAATTTTCATAATGAAAAATTCAACGATATAAAATTACATATTATTTAGTTTTTTTTAAACTAATGCAACAATAAAATTTATTATTTCAATTGATAAAATATAAAAGCTAATATTGATTTTTCATATTTTAGTAATATAGATAGTGTATAATATTGTATTATACATGAAAAAATTAAGTTACTTAAATTTAAATTATTATAATAAAATTTAAATTTCTTGACAAGTAATTTTGGTTTCATAAAAATTGGTTATCAAATTATAATAATATTTATAAATATGTTCTTTCTTTAACAAGTTATGTAATTATTTAATTTTTATTTTGTTATTTTGTGAATGCTCTTAGATTTTTAGTAATGTAAAATGTTCTTATATAATATTATAATTTGATTGATTATAATTATTTTAAATAAATACGTATTTTATAAAGAATAAATGTAATCTATTATCATTTATCAAGGAATATATTATAAGGCTTATTTTTTGATATAAAATGAAAATAAAACTCACTAAAAATATATATAAAAAATAATATGAAGATATAATACGTAATGTTAGCGAACTATATATCATACCGAAAGAAATTTTCTTTTTCAAAAAAGTAACCATAAAATTAATTATATACTTACGACTTTAGTAAAAAGTAAAGGAAAAAAAAATCAACATTATAAACGATAATCGCTATCTATCTATAATATATATTATTCGATAACTCAAATTCAAAATTCAATCATTCAACTCAAGCTAATCCTTTATTTTGAGAAAATTTTATCATGTTTCACTTTATTTCATTTATTTAATGTATTTTTTATTTTTAATGTTTATTTCCTTTATGTTAAAGCTTAAGAGAAACTTGAACAAAGAACTTTAAACAACTGGAATTCTTATTTGCTGAGGATTAAATGGTTCAGACTTGCTATATATAGCCTTACAATAAAGACAAAAACAAAACGTAAACAGCAAAACAAATAAATCCATAAGACTAGGACTCTCCTAAGGAATAGCACTTCCCTAAAGAATAGGTCTTTATTCAACAGAATCCAAAAACTAATCAACTCCTAACAAAGAACTTTAAAACAACTGGAATCTTTTTTGCTGAGGATAAATGGTTCAGAACTTGCTATATATAGCCTTACAATAAAGACAAAAACACGGTAAACAGCAAAACAATAAAATCCCATAAGACCGAGGACTCTTCCAAGGAATAGCAGCTTCCCTAAAGAATAAGGTCACTTTATTCAACAAGAATCCAAAACTCAATCAACTCCTAACAATACCCTCCCTTAAACTTATTTCTTTGGCTAAAAAGAATTTAGTTTAAAATCTGAAAAATCACAGAAGCCAAGCTTCCTTCGTAAATTTCTGGAGGGCTTCTAAACTTGAGAAGGCTTTGTAAACAGATCAGGCAAGCTGAATCGTGGAAGTGCCACAAAAACAATAAGTTTACTGTTGCCTTCTTTGGTAAGAATCTCTGAGGAAATGAAACCTTACCTGTATGCTTTGAACGCCCATGTAGAAACCAGGAATTCTTTGACAGTTTTATGGTTGAAAGTTTATGCAAACAACATAATTTCCGTTCGCTTCGAATTTTGTGAATGCCCAACTCCATTGAGTATTTCGTCTCATCGCAAAGGGCTTGACATGCGCACGCAGATTGCAGCTACGAATTTTCGCCTCTTTTCTTTCTCATGCTCTGTTTGTCCGACAAGTTGACTATGGGTTGTTTTTTTAAATGATGATTCAGGCTACTGCTGCCTTCCATTATCATATTACCGTATACCTGAGTGTTCTGTTTGGCTGTCCTCCATGTCACCAGCATTAAATCAAGCATGATCAGATGAATCCTTAAATTAAGTTATACCCATACTCACAGTCGACCATCTTTTTAGTAAGCTGTGTAAGGACACTTCACGACTATACAGTTGTGCGCTCTTATACCAAGTACCTTTGTCAGGGACCTTTCTTCTCTTGCTGCACAGTGTAATTGCGTTGGACAAGCCATGAAAACGGCTAATTAAACTACCACAAACATTAGAATCAGGGCCGTGTGGCAGTAAGATACATCAGACTCCCCACAATCTGTTTGTACAAAGTCTCAATCTGCTTAGAACACCATTCTTTATCTTGTCGATTTTCCTGTCCAGAACAATTTGGATTACTCACAGTGTTGAAGTTTTCTACT